TTTGTTGTTTTTTGATTGTGTTCTTCACTCACACTATAGCTTATCAAAGCTACAAGTACTGTATTTATAACATGAAAGTGACAACATAATATCAATCATAAGATTAATATATTGGCAGATTTACTTAAACTGTACTACTGTAGTCAGGGTAGTGAGTAGTCACATAGTCTGAATAATTGAATATATTATTAGTTTTTTGAGCGATTCTCAAGTGCGGTCACCGATTACTCCCAGCATTCGGAAATAATCACATTGAATTACTGGTGCATGAAGTGGTGCCATTGTTCAATATGGCAAAATATGGGTGTCATAAATGAAATTTCAAATTTGGACACCCAAGTTGCAAATCCTGGCTAAGACCCTGAGTAAATTTATCTTATTTCTCTATCTAGTCAGAATTATCTAGTCTTGAGAAAGTTAATCTTAAAATAACTAAAGATATATTTTCTTAAAACAAGAAAATGATTCATCGATCTAGAAATATTTTCTTAATTAGAATTTTTTTCTCACTGTTCTCCCTAGTCAAAATTTTCTTGTTTTAAGAAAATGTACTTAAAACAAGTTATATTTTCTTAATATAAGATTTAATTCCTTATTATTTTATAAAAGTTTTCTTAATTTAAGAATAATTTTCTAGTTCTAATAAAATTTTAAGAAAAAGTGTGCCAGAAAATGTTTCATTAATATTTTTTTGAAATGTGATATATTTTTCTTAAAACAAGAAAATGTTTTTTCTTATTTCAAGAAAAATTTTAGCAATATTTTCTCAGTTAGAAAATATTTCTCAATATTTTCCCAAGAAAAAAAATTCTTGTTTCAAGAAAATAATTTTTTTCTTGAAATAAGAAAACGATTTTTTGCTGTGATAAGTGCATATAGCGTACAAGGGCTAATGTTTTCTCGGGAGGGGCAGTTGAACGTTTGGCCGAATTTTTATGGAGGATTGTAATGAAATAACCTGAATTTAACATATTTTCTGATTACTCTGCCTGAATTTTCTTGCTTTGTCATAGCATTTGCTCGGTTTTCTATAGTTTTCTAAAGTTGCTTTAGATTTTTTTGCCGGGTGGGGGGAGTTTTAGCACATTCCCACATTCGCAGTCCAGATAAGAGGTGGTGAATTGGAAAGGTTCCAACTGCTATGGGGCGCATGGTGTATGGGATCATTTTAATTTGAGCCTCTGAGGCATAACCTGCATCATTTGACGATGTCATGAGACTGCGCCCAGGCTATTGGGGCTTAATATCCTGCATTCTCAAACACTTTGTTTTATATAATTATTCAACCTATACAGACTGAGCTTTCAGTATGAAACAAGGTTTGGTTATTAAGGGAATATAAAAACATTTATCTGATAGTTTGCTGGGGGGGGGGGGACCTAGGGGCTAGAGGAGCATTGGCCCCTCCAATATATGTATTATCAAATTAGTTATGTATAGGAACTGTATTTTTCATTTTTCTTTGTGCGGTGTTATGTTATTGCCTTCAAATTAGTAGTACAATTACTACCAAGGTTATTCCATGAGTCCACTATTGTATTGATGAATAATTTGGTTGGTTATATTACTATCCTAATGGTTATATTACTATCCTAATTTCTTAATTCTATTTGACTTTTACATGAATTTAGTGTATATTTTATAATAAGTAATGATTCCAATTTCCTGTGCCTGCTTCGTTGTGCGGACGAAATAGCAAAAAGGCGAATCATTCTCTAACAAACACTATTATAGCATTATTAAACTTAGTTATTATAAATGCTTAAATGATTATTGAACTATTATGATTAAATTTTACAGTTGAAACTGACATTCAAATGAAAACGGTACCTATTAAGGCAACTGATCTATGCACATGTGGCGTTCCAATTATTATTGTTATAAATACACCTCCTGAGATTTATTCCTTCAATGGTTCTCGAGTGGGACTGTATGCTTTCGATTTTCTCAAACTGCACCTATAGTAGCTATAGTTTTCAATTGGCAAATGTACTTCCCACTGCATTGACAAGAAAGATGCACAAATTATTAATTAGAGAAACCTGTGTGCAGAAATTAAGAAGATTGCTCAATTTCTTAAAAGAAAAGCAAATCCCCTTTGGTAAAAAAACCACGAAGAGAAAAGCCGGAATCTGTAAAACCCGATTTATTATGTTACATCGCAAATATCAAAAATGTTTGAGAAAGTAATTGTAAAATATTAAGCGCTCTCAGTTGCAGAATGGCTTATATTTGAAAACGCATAGTGAAAAGTTATAGCCAAATTCGAATACGAACGTTATTATATCTTTAGGATTCGGTGTTTCAAGCATCATGCTCATATACTGCTGTATACCGTTGAAAAGAGCATAAAAATATATATAATATAGTCGTATTTCTATAAAGCAATACTATGCCTGGGTCAGTTTGCACAAATTGCCTTTTACGTTCCTGGTTTTACAGTTCCGGCTTTTTAATTTCCATTCCTGGTTTTACAGATAGTCTCAGTTCGTGTTCGTATCGGCTGCAGCACAGAGCTGTGTTATATGGATGTCACGTATAAGTAGCCATTCGTGTCCCGCTATAGTTAATGACCGAGGAAATTGTAAATTTATCGCTTACCAGGGCAAACAGGAATTGATGAGCCATCAGAAGAACAACTTCCCGGCAGCTTTGTGCCTATATAAATCACAAAAATCATTGTCAATCCTTGGTGTTTTTAGCAATCTTCCGTAAAACGCATATTGTTCATAGTCACGATACGGATTGCTTGAATACATTTCCAGAAACAACGCAATATATCATTGTCATATTTAAGACATATAGCTACATCGAATGGATTTAACCAATAGGGAAATTATAATCAAATCCTGTTGCAGCCTACCTGCACAATAAGCATAGGTACATCGCGTAAGTGCTTTCAACCTATACAGAAAGAAATCACCACAATTTATTACTTTGATTTTAAATTTTTCGCCACACCCAACAGGACGCCGCCGTGGAACTGACGCACATGCAGTTCTGTCCACCACTACACCAGGTGTAGCTGGATGCCTTCCATTCATCCAGATGGGAATATAAGTTCCACAGTGTTTTATCTTTGGATCAGACTCGGGCATCTTATCGCCAGCCGCACTTTTAAACCTGTACCATGATCCATCTTGGATCAAACCACGATCGCACAAATCATAAGTAGCAGTGTACGCTGTACTGCGTCGGACATTATTAATCGTGGTATACGTTAAATGGCTACACTGTGCGTCAAGAGCAGTTATACAGTGCAGAACAAGGAAGCAAAACAGCACAGCTGTTGACGCCATGATTGCAGAACGTAAACTAAGAATTGTTTTGATCATCTTGGTATTTAATTACAACCGTTGGAAGCATGATTACGTCATTGTATAATAAACCTCATTTTCCTAGAACATGCATTTCCCAATATTAAAATCCTCTTTATATGGTGAACAGACGTACAGTAGTCACAGGACTAGAAGAATATCACGCTACCTTAAAATAACTATAACTTACGATTGTTAGCCAACTCAAACATTTGAGGATAGTGTTTATATACAGAGTATTGGCTTTCCACGTCAAATTTGACTAAACTAATCTGGTTCAGTCAAAGTTCATGTCCGGTAGGGCAAGCTTGCAATTCATGTCCGGACATGAATTGCAAGCTTGCGCTGCTGGCTAAATTCTGCTAATCAGACTATGAGAGAAAAAGGAAACAAAGTTAACAATAAACAAGGTATCTATGAGCAGAAGTAGAACTATACTACAGCAAATTCGAAAGGAATGAGAACGTTAATAATTAATAAGGCCAGCGAATTAAATAACTGAAAAGTTTACACGAGCGAAAATAACCAAAACTGGCAAAAAGGAAAGGCTAACCTCTTGGCCTTGACTTTTCGTCCATTTTTAGCTAGCCACGGAACGACTCCTATATATAAAGCAGTCTGATTCACAGTGAGCTGCGGCTTGTTCTGATGATAAATTGACTGTTTATTTGCGACTTACTTAAGTGCGGCTTATTTCCGCTCGTATATATGGCTATGGCAGTATGTTCAGTGATCGAGATATAACTTAGCGAATACCAGTATGATGAATTAATTAAAACGGGTATTTTATATGCGAAATTTGCTTTTAAAATCTTTTACCATATTTAATTTGATATTCGTATTTTGCATGCTTGTCTTCTTTTCTTACAGCAAATTATTTTAGACACTTTAAATTTTAATCTTATTAAAAGCATAAACGCACTCAAACAGGAACTTCACGTCCATCAAACAGATAAAAGAAAAACAGGAACTTGGACGACCTTGAACGAACGGAAGTTGAACATACCTGCAAATGAAATGCATTAATCTCTAAAGATTTTGTATTGCAAATACAAATTCAGTTGTTTTGATCAAAATCAAGATTGTTTTAATTTTCTATCTGTCTATCAGTATCTGTATTGTAAATGTGCATGTGCGTGGTTTAAACGTTATTTGCCGAGTTCTTTTATTCAAATTTAAACTAAGATTTTCGCCATGCAAGTATATTAGTTAATTCATTTAATTGCTCCAATTTTAACAAATTTATTCTAGGGTTATATACAGTATATGGGTCATATGGAGTTGATCCCATCGCGCGTACCCATATTGCATACAAAAAAGGGGACAGCATGCTGGTGTTTAGCATTTGACTGAAGAAAAATCTTCACTTCATGAAAACCTTTCAATTCCTCACGCTTGAACAACAAGCTTTTCTCAGGAAAAGTTTTTCAGTCAGTTGTTTCATAGTATGCCTCATGCAGAAACGTCTTTTCATGCATGATGTAACGTTTTCACAACATCCTTTTAATATTGACAAAAGGTTGTGCTAATTAGCTTTGTCCGACCTAACCATGCAGAATACGATCTTCTATAAAAGCGTTTTGACAACGTTGCGTGTGTTAGCTTGGATAAATTAGTAAACCGGATTTGCTTTGATTTAGTAAAAAATGATCGTCTTGCAAATTATTTCCAAGTCTTCAAATACTTTAACAATATTGTTGTACTTGTTTAGAATTGTAAATCAGCGTTACTTACCGTTACATATCTAAAAGTCTAGGAATTTTATGTAGCGGGAAGAATATAATTAAGGCAATGCTACTCTCGTTATGAACGACGTTCAACACGGGCAGCTCTTTTGAAGAAAAAAATAAGAACTGCACGTACAGGGTAGACTTTTGGGGAAGGGATATCGTGGCTGTTAGTACTGCACATTTTGTGCACAACTGTACGTTACAAAAGACTCTAGATATACTTGTAAATATAATAATCTAATAATACTGTATAATAATAAAAGTATTAGAGTAATATAATATGCTTGTAAATATACTTGTAAGTTTACTTCTACATAGGTTTTTGACCGCTTTCATCAGTCTGTAAAGTTTTGATTGTTTTGACTCCCCTCATGGAAACCAGCACTCTGCTGATGCCTGACGAGGCTATAGCGTCAGTGAAATTAAAGTTACACAATACACTTTACAAAATTGTATGTGTTGGTCTTCGTTTCTAAGCAAGCTATGAAATCCCTTTCCCAAACATTGAGGCGGTTTCAACACAAATTTTGAACACATGTGCGGGGTGGGAAATATTTTTTGAACGGCTTTTAAAAATAGCCTCTGTCGTATATCCCTCTATAACACATATATTTACATATTTTTTGACATTGCTTCAGGGTAAAATGCGGACACGAATGGACGGACAGGTAAAGTGCCAGTTATGAGCGTAACAAAAGAGTACGCTACAGATAAGATGGTAAACCTGGGATAAGAGGGTGAAAATGAGCGCTTATAATGGAGTGAGTTAACCGATTTGAAAAGAACAAAAAATTGTCAGTTTAGTGTTTCTTAAAGGAGATTGGCAACAAAAATTGCTTCATCTATCTTATTGCTTCATCTAAAAGAGCATGAAAAAATAAGCCGATTGGCCGTTTAATGCTCTATTC